CACCGCAGATGTCTCCAAGGCCTTCAATGCTCTGAAGATCGTAGAAACAGACAAAGACAAATTTAGATTTCTGTGGCTGAAGGATATCAACAAGCCTTTCTCAGAAAACAACTTAGCAGAATATCGATTCCGAGTCGTGATCTTCGGCGCAAGAAGCTCCCCCTCATACTCGCGGCAGCCGTAGATGGCGTCCTCGAAAAGCAAGAAAGCGACATAGCCGAAGAGATAAGATCCAACATCTACGTAGACAACGTAATGATGCAAGCAAGGACAACTGAAGAAGCAATCCAAAAATATCACGACTCAAAAAACCTCTTCCGGCAGAAACTTTTCATGTCTCTAAGACAATACACAACGAACCTTCAAGGCGCCTTTAAAGGGATGAACCCTGACGATGTCGACAACAGCAGCCCGACCAACTTGCTCGGCCTTGGATGGGACACAAAAAATGATAATTTAACAATTAAATTCCCACTACTCGGGGAAGAACATCTGACAAAGAGGCGTTGCGTTAGCTATGTCGCCAAGATCTTTGACCCACTGGGTCTAGCAAGCACAGGCGTCATCCCGATGAAGCTCTTTATCCAGGAACTGTGGCACGACCAAAACGCACCCGACTGGGACGAGCCATTATCCGAGGCTCGATCCCAGTGCTTTCGCGACCTAGTCAGAGAACTAGAGGGACAGATTATCACCTACCCCCGGAAAGCACTCCTGGATCCGTTGAAGCCGACTCGCCTAGTAGTTTGCACAGACAGCAGCACGAAAGCATACGGATGCTGCGCGTATCTAGTGCAAGGAAATACCTCCCACCTACTCATCTCGAAAAATCGGATCACGCCAAAAGATAAGACCAAATCCAAAACACTGACTATGCCACGCCTCGAATTGATGGCCCTCCTCATTGGCTGCACACTAATGAAGTTTATTACGAAACAATTGCATACGTACGTCAACATCGTAGAGAAAATTGTACTGAGCGACTCGCAGATAGCCCTAAGTTGGATCTGTAACGAAGCCCATCTGAAACTACCGAAAGCGGTAGCCAATATGAAGTCAAAAATACGAGATCTTCAAACCGAACTACAGTTCGATCTACACTACATCGAGACCAAAAACAACCCCGCCGACCATAGCTCGCGCGGGACCTCAAGCCTGCAGATGATTTTATCGGAACACTGGAGGTGTGGACCCAAAGAATTAACCTGCGCAGGCCCAATCCCACTACCCAAATATGCAATTAAGGCGACAGAAGATCTCAACTCCGAAGTGCTCGCAATTAATCCCAACAAAGAACTCAAGACAATAATCCCAGTCGAACGATTCAGCTCCTACCGTCGCTTGGTACGCGCCACTGCAAGATGCTTGGAATTTATCCACAAAAAGGTCTATAAAAGTGCCCTGACCCACAGAAAGAAACCACCGTACCGTCGAAGCGCAAGGGAATTCTAAAAAGAATTCGCGGAACACCATCAAAAGCCCCGGAAACTAATCAAGCTAAAAAACCTGAAAAGCCAAAAAGAGGGCGCCCCGCTAAAAACCCAAAAAACCCAGAAAACCAGGCAAACGGCGAAGCGCATCCTAACAAAATTGAAACCCAGGAGAGCACGAACATACCCAAGCCCTATGACTTGAGGAAAAAACCCAGAAGGAAAGTGCAATTTCATGTTTCTTCGACCCCCATATTCCTATTTACATTCGGCTTAGTTTTCCTGCCAGCGGCTGCCCCTACCGTAGCAGCCGACCCGTCGCCCTCTCAATTTATGGCAGGGGTCCGGGCAGGGCTCGCGCACGGGCACTGGCAGATGCTCCCTCCATTCCTCAGCTTTATGGAGCTCTGGACACGGGCCAGCTCGGCCTGCCTGAATTATGAGCCTGTCTACAGCCAGTCGATCCCGGGATGCACAGCCCCAACTTGCGAGCAATACATAAATTTTGTCTCCCGCTCCAACCTACGGACACCAGAGATCTGTAAGCGAGTCTTCGACAGCCACACCGGACGAATGATGGGCGAGATCAGCGTGAAAGTCTCTAAGACCAAATACATATGCAACGAAAAACAACTGTACTTCTCGTGGCCTACAGAAACATTTAGCACATTAGAAGAAAACTGCGAAGGCGAACACGGCTGCAATCGAGACGTATGCAACCGATTAAACGGCACGGAAATCTTCATGGATACCGAAGTTGGTCCAATTCCAGGGGAACTAAACTGCTACGAGGGATATAAACCTATTTCCAAAAATTGCGAAAATAAGGCAACTTGCCTGATAACTCAAGCGCACGCTGTACCGTTAGGGAGAGACCCCTTGGAAATAATCAGCTGCCCTAATTGGACGTTAAATAACATAATAGAAGTAACAATATCATCGGGAGGACGCCAGAACCGAATGCTCATTGAATCCGACGATCAACACCCCAACCAACGCTTGAACTTTCAACTTACAGTGCTAGGAAAGATCCCGGCAGACACTCCGTTACTAAATTCCAAATACCTCCGCCAGGGACAACAAGCCTATGTATTATTCAAAGAAAGCTTTAACAAGCTCGGAATTAGATGCCCAACCAACAAATACGGTAACTGGACCACCTGCACGTTCCTTAATACCTGCTCTGACCCTTCGGGCCTATTCTGCGAAGATTCTGACCTCCAGAGCTCACTAGGACTTCATATGCTCCCACTCAATCTACCCAACGGAGGACGATTGACACAGAATCCCACACAGATGATCGAAATCTCTACGAAAATCCCCATTAATATGGAAATTCAAGTTATTTCCCTAACGGACGTGTTCGAAATTAATCCAACTGACGAGCAGACCCCCAAACGTAGACCTCCCGAACCCCCCCCCCCCCTTTACCCCCCTACTTAGGGGGGTTGGAGGGGGGTTGGGTAGGGGGGTTTTGGGGGGTTGGGGAGGGGGGTTGTGGGGGGTTGGGCAGGGGGGTTTTGGGGGGTTTTTTGGGGGGGTTCGATACATAAACTATAAGTTAACTACACTTATTATACTTATGTTTTTGCTTACTATTAGCTGTAGCAAGTATTGAACAACCGTTACGACACGAAAAAAGTGGGAAACTGGTTAGTTTTGTCGGTTTTGCTTGCTACCAATGGATAACAATTAATTAAACTAATTTTTTTGTTGGTTTCTACCACGAAATCTATTTAAAAAGTGTAAACTAGCTTTCCTATATAAAATACCTGCGATTTGACAACTTTTTAGACACCAAATCTTCCTGAAAGCAAAATTTTTGATAGAATTTTCATTTCCACGCTCAATGCTGGCAAAACGCTGCCATTTTGGGCAAAACGGTTTCCCAATGAGTTATTTGTGTAGGGCATAGCATTACAATCAATTAATGGTGTCATCCCGATAATAAAAACAAGCCACAATCTCAAATAAAGCAAATAAAGCAATTCACCGGGTAAAAATCCCGGTCGTATTGTTTTAAAAAAGAGTTCGACAAAGAAATTGACTGTCCTCTAGGCTTGTCACACCCCCCAGAACCGAATACCCAAAAAGCAAAAAGTTTTCCCCGCGGCCGGGAATCGAACCCCCGACCGTCTGCTTAATACACTATAGGGGGGTTGGGAGGGGGGTTTTGGGGGGCTGGGAGGGGGGTGTTGGGGGTTGGGAGGGGGGTCGGGTAGGGGGTTTTGGGGGGTTGGGGAGGGGGGTTTCGGGGGGTTGGGCAGGGGGGTAAATGGGGGTAAAGGGGGGGAAAGGGGGGTTCGGGAGGTCTACCCAAACGACTAGATCAAACACAGGAGGCAGATGAGCAGGACAGCTGTTCGGCAACCGTACACCTATCCAAATCAACCGAACTCGCAAATAACAGCATACTGTCCATAAAATGCAGGGGTCAAAATAAGGAGAAAACCGCGCTGGCGGAGTGTGGCGACAATTTCTTAATTATTCCCTGCAGCCAAGCAAATGAAGCTTCGACGTTCTCTGTCCCTCAGAACACCCTTCTTACAGGAAATTGCAAGATTACCTGCGGAGACCACGAGCTGAACCTCACGCTTCCAATTCCTGCTGAAACTACAAAGTCCGCGATCCCTAATCCATGCTCAGAACCAACAACAACCCCTCAAAAGACTACAAAAATCGGACCGACCGTCACGAAACCGACACCACTCAGGTCAGAAAGGCAGCAAGAAAACAGCAGATCGGATCCACTGGAAGCCACCACCCGAAAAAGCTACACGAAAATCTATATAAAGCCAAGAATACTCGGCGGCAAAAGCGTTTCAGAAGACATGGGAGAAATGACCGCCGGAATGCCTCTTTTGGTCGCACAGGAGACCGGAGTCAAGATAGTCGATTCACTTTTATACCAAAGAAGAGAAGATCCGCGTGACTCAACGACGCACGAGGCCGTTGAGAATAATGACATAAATTCGACCCTCCAACAGACGAAAACCACAGCACGCCCTAAAAGCCTCTCTAAATCTCAGAGGACATCCACTTTTTCCAACATTTTCGACTTTACTAGCATCCAGGAGACAGCAGAAAACATCAAAAACACGACGATATCAGTCGCCTACGCTATCCTCAGTATCTTGGGAATTCTGGCCCTCCTCACCATTTTTTATTTTATTTGGCCTCTTCTCGTCTTCATCGCTCGAATTCTCAGCCCCATAGTAAACGCGACAGGGCTTGCGCTCCAGGGCTTACTCAAACTCTGCCAGACGCGCAGCAACCGGGCCCCCAAGGATCCTGATCACTCGAACAGCCGCACGGAGGCCCAATGAAAATACACTGACAAGCCCCGCCCATCAGCTACAGGATATCGAGGATTGGAGATCATTCTCAACCCAACCAGCCGCTCGAACGTGATCTGAACCGATCCGTACGAGCCCCAGCCATCCGAGCACCAACCGCCACCTCAGCATCAACACCCACCTCGCTTTCAACAACACCGGCCGCGACTAAATTCCATCTTTGCGCCTATTCTTCCCCGAACTAAATCGGAAACTCCATCTATCCATCATCAAAATGTCGTCGACCTATGACCGCCACTTCCCGCCTCTCACCAAGGCGCTGGAGTTGCCCGAGTTCGACTTCGAAAAAGGGGACTTGCCCTTAACAGCTGCGGAGCTAGATAGAATTTTGGCAACGACCCCAATTGATGGTAAAAAAAACAATTACGATTTAACCCTCAATATTCAGATCCTTCCAAATTAGATGGGACGTCCCACGAACGCCTGGAGGCTTTCAAGAACCTCACGATCAAGATGGATAAATTGGAACTAGAATCCCAGGTAGGCCAAGCATGAGATAATCCTTTCTTACTTCTTTAATCAAATCATCCCTTTAACAAAAATCAAATCCTGACCTCGCTTCCCGATAACTAAAAACTAAAAAGCGGTCCCCCAACTACAATCTACTAAAACTCCGGCATGATTCCGGACACAACCTCTAAACGCTGAATAACAGCTTCTATTATTGCTCAGCCGCCAGCGGCTATTAAAAGGTCATTTAAAACCTGGCATCCCTCCAGGAACCCAACTAAAACCTCTCACCTGACCCCACTTACAGCAACCCGTCGACGATCAGTCGACGTTTGGCCCTTGGATTACCGTACAACGGACCGGAACCAAACGGAAGGCCGCTCCGGGACCAGCCATTTGGGGCTATCAGAACGAAGCCAACCTTTCCCCTAGCGCTTCTCCTACCCAACCCGCCCCATCTCGCTATATTCCCCCTCCACCCGGTTTCTCGCCTATCACACCCCCTCCCGGTTTTCCCTCCCTTGATAAACGCGCCACTTCTCCTCACCTAGGGCCCCGTCAATCAACCTACGCACCATGTGGACTACCGCCAGTAGGCCCCCATCCGATCTTCCACAGAGCCGAGCACCAAAAAAGAACCATCTCCCCGAACATGGAGCCCCGCCAAAAAAGGGTGCGCACGTCGGGAGAAATCTTTATTTGGTGCAAGCTCTGCGGAAGACCTCACCATTTGGACATTCAGTGTCGCCATGTGCGAAAACACGAGTTGGCCACTCTACAGCGGCTCCAAAACCGCTGCAGTAGGTGCACGCATAGTCATCTCCGGGAGTTGGCTTGCGTGTACAAGGCACCGTGCGCACATTGCGGCAGCTGGACGCACCACACCTTGATGTGCGAGCAGCACTAAACCCCCCCGTCCCCGCAGATTCTGATTTCAGTATCTCCACTTCATTGTCAATTTTCCCTAAGGATACCATGCCCCTTCCAATACCGGACCCCACAACCCCCACCTGCCCAACCCACAAATGCAAATTGACGATTTCCCGTTATGCCTCCCTTTGATCCTGAAGCATCCTTTCCATGCGTTGTTCACCCCCCCTTCGCATCTCACGACCACCAACAAATATCATGCACGATTATTGTAAATTTGATCTCACTCCCCGTGCAAATCTCAAACAGCCCGCCTGGGCGCAATTTTCGCATTGTGATTTCATGAATGTTTAGCTCGATTAGCGGGCGCAATTGTCGTCTTGTTATGCCCTAATCGCCTCAAGCCCGCCTTTCGGGCGCCTTTCCGCCTTGTGAATCTTCACGCGGCCCGCTTATCGGGCCCACTCTAATTTTTCGGGCCGGGAGTGTCGGATCCTACCGACCCTTCGGGAAAGGGAGTCCCAAAATCTAGGGCATGGGCGGGCCCTCAGGCTTGCATAGCCCCTCGGGGCCGATCCGCAAAGGCCCACGGGGAGTTTCGAAAGTCCCTGCGGGGAATTCCGAAATTCCCCGCCGGGAATATCGGAAATCGGGGGCTGACTGGGCGGAGCCCAGCAGCCCCTATATAAGCCTGGGGCCCTCGCATACCAGACACACACTCAAATAACCCTTGCTGAATTGCTGTCGCCCTGCTCAAGGCTACAGTAATCCAGCAAAGGAGAGTGTGGGCTTCCGAGCCAGCGATCTCACCGATCATCTCCCTTCTCCGAGACCGGCCCTTACCGTTCCTCCTATTTAAAGGTGGAATAAAGGCCTTACTCTCAAACCGTGTCGCCCACAACTGACACATTAAAGACGCAACTCGCATTTGGGCGCCACAGTACCATCTTCCGCTGGCGAGATTATTTCTACGGGCAGACTGCACAGAAACCAGATCCGACGCACTTGATTTAAACTCCGTGCCCAACTATATAGTAAAGGAGCAGGAACCATTGAATAATGAACAGCTACGGAGAGCATTAGTTGAGGCAAGGATGTATTTCAAACGAAAAATCCAAAATCAAAGGAAATGTCGAACTGGCTGGAGATCTGGTAGCATTGATTACGACCTTCGTTCGTGGATCAAGAACGGAACCAAGAGTCGAGGAGGCCAAAAGAAATATCAATACCTGTTGACAGAACTCGAATCAGTTCCTGATCAGCCTTTCCCGGGGTATATTTTCAGCGATGGTCATCCTCCAGCACATCAATGTCCTGAAGGAGAATGCGAGATTGCCGGCGGGTTCCCACAATGGGCTGGTGAAAAATACCGTATTCGCTATCACCAATGCTTGACAGCCGAACAAATTGCTTACATTGAAGATTATACTTTGATGATAACCGCTCTACGATATATTACAAACTGGAAGGTTTTTCATGCTGACTTCAGGGACTTGCTCGTCAACCTGATAGCTGAGATCGAAGGGAAAGAAAGACGATCGGTGTTCTTTTTCGCAATGTTCAAGTTCTGGTTGGACGCGCCTGAGGCACTGCTTTTCCAAATTCACCCGGAGGTGTCTAGCGGAAAGTGCATCGTGGAAGGGATGAAACTCGTGGAAAGCCACTACATAGACGACGTTCTGCGACTCGTTCCTTTGCGGCTGGCCGATATACTACCAATTCTTATTCAATGGTCGGATGCAATACAAGCAAATATAAAATTTTTCAGTGCGTTCTAATCTGATAGGCTTACCCAAATTCCTAGGCGATCTTCCAGAAGCGCTCGAAAAATTGTGGGAACGGCTCAGGTGACTTTAACCAAGGTCTGCTTCAAAATTTCCTTTTAGTTCACCTGAATTGGAAGGAACGATTTCGACCACGCGGCGTTTTGGAGAGTTTTCTGATGACGACAGTCATTCTATTTGGTGAATAGCGTGCCAGATTTTAATTGTTAGTTTCCCAATTTGAGCAGGCAGGTGTAGTGTTTTTGTGTGGTGCCAGTGTTAAATTGCCGGATACCCAAGCTTTCGAAAATTTTGTGAAAAAGTATCAGGTTTTCCAGGGTAAAAACGCACCCCTTTCAATGCGCACGGCGCAAAATGGGCGGACCCCAAGAAACTTTAAAATTTCGCGATCAAATGCATTTTGCTTCTCCTCCAAAGGCCAACTTGCTCCAAAACGGCATTTTCGCTGCATCGCCCATAGTTTGTTCTCATTATTTCTCGGTTGCATCTACAAATATAGAATTCTTCGTACTTTCGGAGGTATACATTTGTTTTCGTGCATGCCGAGTTCGAAATAATAACTTGATTGGTTTTGTTTCATATTGGTATGTGTTTCGTAGTCGCGATTAGACAAATACGTGGCAATTTTCGTTATTTATTTATCAATAAAACGTCATCCGTTGAATTTTGGAGAGCTTAGCTTCCTTATAGTTTGCTACGTGCAGCAATTCCCTCATTATATTGATTGAGTCGTTGGAGAGAGTCTTCGGGGAGGAAGAAGTCGGTGATCAATTGAGTTCCTAAGAAAATGGATGTTAAAATAAAGATAGAAAACGCACCAGGTACACACGCATACTGCTCGAAATCGGTCTCGCCTTCGGCCCTCAGGAAATCTTCATCTACCAGGAAATTCCCGGTGAAGCCCGGGCCTTTGGAGAGAATCTTGTATGCTGCGTCTGAAAAAATCAAATGATATAATTTTGTCAAATATAGTTGAAAAATTAGGTGAAATTAACTTTCAAAAGTTTTTTCAGCCCAAAACGTTGCAAACTATTTTCATGGCGTAATCGAATTTTATGACAGAATTTCGGTTTTTAATGGGCCTTTTGGGGTAAAAAAGTTTGTAGAACCCAAATAAACTTAAAGAATTATAAAATTAAAAGACCAATGAAAAATAAAACGAGTAATACCCAAAACGTACCAGCCATAGTAGCCGGATCCCTGCACCCGGCCTTCGCGTCTTCACCACCCGCCAACATTTCCATTGCCGCCGTGTAAATACCTAAATAATCCGTTTTAATAGGAAATGAAGGCAGGATACAAGGTACAAAAAAATGAAAAATGAGAATTACCAGTCAATGGCCACAGTGCATTGACAGCAATGCCATCGGGGCGGAATTCTTCAGCATGCCCGAGTACGCACATGGACATTCCGTATTTGGCCATCGTGTAGCCAACGTGGGCCTGGAAATTGGATGATATTTCCGGCTACTTTTGTCTCAATCGACTGCGCCATGAAAATGCCATGTTTTGCCTTTTGGCAAGTTTTTAATTTCCAGCTTTCACGAATTTTTGCGGTGGAAAATCTATTCCAAATTTCTGAAAAACAGCTAATAGCTATCAGGTTGGTAGATAAGTCCTGTCACAATTTTTTTAAATCTCTCTATATAGCCGCAGAAACGGCCGATTTTAACGTTTGATACCTGATTTGATAGGTCTTGGGTTGCTCTATAATGGGAGCTGCCGCACAAGGTCGAAAAGTTACCGGACGCCGTGTTACAGCACCGGGAAGTTTTCATAAAATCTTGAAAAAGCTATTTAGCGTGCTATCTCTGCATAGAGCGATTTGCATGCGATACCCTTGACACCAATCGATAGCTCTCGAGGAGTAGCTATCGATAGATGTCGAGATCATCAAAATTGGACACTGGATGGCCGAGATTCTCTGAAATTTGGTTGATTTCTTAGAACTTTTCCCGGAACCATACATTTTACGCATCTGTGACAAAGCTTGCCAGGTGGTTTTTGAGCGCGCGAAGAAGGTTTTGTCTAAATGTATGGGAATTCGGAAAAAGTTCTAAGAAAGGGACCAAATTTGAAGGGCTCGTATCCCGGCCATCCGGTGTCCAATTTTGATGATCTCAACATCTATCGATATCTACTCCTCGAGAGCTATCGATTGGCGTTAATGGTATCGTATTCAAATGGATCTATGCAGAGACAGCACGCTAAATAGCTTTCTCAGGATTTTATGCAAAGCTTCCCGGAGCTGTAACTCGACGGCGAGCCACTTTGGGGACCAAATCGGGTTTTGTCCAAGTAGCGCGTCCCAAGATCTATCAAATCATGTATCGAAAGTGAAAATCCGACGTTTCTGCGGCTTTCTAAGGCACTTTCAAAAAATTGTGA